TAAAGAAAAACTCAGTTTACTAAAAGTATGCTGAAGAAAGTATAATTTACTTGGATTGCTTAAAGAAATAGTTTACTAAAATATACCGGCTATTAAGGTACACAAATAAAATAATAGTTTACTAAAATATACCGGCTATTAAGGTACACAAATATAATAATAGTTTACTAAAATATACCGGCTATTAAGGTACACAAATAAATAATAGTTTACTAAAATATACCGGCTATTAAGGTACACAAAATATAATAATAGTTTACTAAAATATACCGGCTATTAAGGTACACAAAATATAATAATAGTTTACCAAAATATACCGGCTATTAAGGTACATAAAATAAGATAATAGTTTACTAAAATACATTAAAGATAAAAAGTTAATTTACTAAAAGACCAGTTTTTCAAAATATACTAAAGAAAATATATAGCTTAAAATTCGGAATTCAATCCCCACGAGTGACAAAACGCAGACAACTCATTGTATAGCTTCGCAAGCAACAACAAACAAACAAGATCAATTTACCAAAATATAACGACGAAAATTTTAGTTTACGAGAAATACGCCAAGGAAAAGGTTAGTTTGTTAGAAATACGTCAAAGAATAGATAACTTTACTGACACATATCAAAGGAAAGGTTAGTTCACCAAATAAAGGTTACTAAGCTAAAAACAAACTACACGAAGAGTTGCTTTAGTAGCATAAAAATAGGTGTGGCTGACTCACGTACGAAAATATCCTACACGTAAAATACTGGCAGGTGTAGATTAGTTTCCAAGATAGCAATATTAAATCAGAGCACAGAAGACTAGAAAAAAACCTTGCTCTGAGTCCTCTATACAAAATACGTGATCTTTGTTAAGCGACTTCTTTCCTTGGTTTTCTCTTCTTCAATACCCAATAACCAGTTATAAAGATCTAAACCTTTTAAATTCTGTATAAAGCCAACTTCTAAAACATGATACGAACTTGTATATGGAATCGAAGTGCGCTTTCCAATCAACATACTAAACTATCATTCTGTATAAAGCCAACTTCTAAAACATGATACGAACTTGTATATGGAATCGAAGTGCGCTTTCCAATCAACATACTAAACTATCATTCTGTATAAAGCCAACTTCTAAAACATGATACGAACTTGTATATGGAATCGAAGTGCGCTTTCCAATCAACATACTAAACTATCATTCTGTATAAAGCCAACTTCTAAAACATGATACGAACTTGTATATGGAATCGAAGTGCGCTTTCCAAT